ACACACATAAAAAAAAAAATAAAAAAAAAAAAAAATAAATAAATATACCGACGAATTGAATACCTCCTTCTTTTGGGAAGTCGGTCAAAAAATTGCTTTTCATCTGTACTAATACTAATTACTTATATTTCTATACTAGGAAAGATTGGTATTTTGTATGTATTGAAATAACTCAAACACTACTGAACCGATTTCAAAAAATCTTGCACCATTAAAAAGCTATGTTATCACTGAGTAACTTTTAATCTTTTAATTTCACGGCGGGCGAAGTCATGACAGCTAGTGAGTTAATAAAGGAGAGTATATAAGTTAAGTAGCTAACTTTAGTTCGGTATTATGAAAAGACCTTTCCTGTTGACAAAATGTAGTCAGCATCTAAAAAATCTTACATTTATCGACAAACTATCGTAACTCCGCTACATCTTATGTGCTTCTAATTGGTGTAATCGAAGTCCATTAATAGCAGACAATGAATTTAATAGCTTTCGATTGTTTTAAAACTATGTGCCTATTGTTTGTTCTATAGACTAGAATTATATGTCTAGTAACAGGATAGCAACACTTTAATACGAACTCTCTGATTTCTCATAAACAATAGCCAGCTATTAATATTTGTTTGACAACGCGGACAAGCAGTAAAGTATAATTATCTGTACTTAAAATTCGGACTGAGAAAGGATGGTTTTTGCGTTTTCAAAAAGCTGGAATTGTATCTCTAAAAATCTAAATACGATTGTTAAGTTAAGAACGAAAGGAAACGTTGAATGAACAAGATGATCACAAGATATAAGCTTGAGTTTTCCGAACCAGATTAAAAATGTGCTGGATTTTGTTAAAATCAGTTTCCGTGACTCTTCTTTCCTTTTGTCTATGGTCTGGACTTACTACTGTAGAACTAACACCCCCTATGCTAGTCAAAGGATTAACAAATGGGCAGTTCCAGAATCTTAAAACTATTTCATTGTCAAATTCAAGGAAAGTATTTATATTGTGATTTTTTCTCATGAAGGTGACACCAAAGTTTATTCAAATGAAACATAATCGGTTGTCTTAACATCCAACTGAATAATTCTTCAATTTTCCCATTACTTGATTAAACACAAATAATATTTTGGGATAACTCGACTTATAAACTTTCCGTGCGAAAAATTGGCTAACTGTTAATACGAAAACACGATACGTGTTTGGCGTGTTCGACCAAAACAAAATGCTTTGTCACACGACGAATTTCATGCTAGTTTCATACGAGGGCACATTGAGGCAGAAGAGGACAGAACAATACTGTTTTAACAGTAAGTGTCCAAACTATAGCAGTACTGCACTATACTACTTGGACTGTTCTGTCGTCGTGTAAAAACATCAGAGTTGGTTGACATTTGTTCACGGCGACGCGCGGCAGTAGCGACTCGTCACCCCAAATTGCACACTTTAGGATGAGAAATCAGACACGAAATTGCTCTAAACACTCATATTCTTGATGTTAGATAAATGACTTCCTGCTGCGGGTTACAATGGAGCCATCATTATTCCTCAGATCGCAGAATAGAGCGCTGCCGTGAGAGACTCCCACGACCTTATTGCGGATATATATTTTTTGTTTGGTCTAATTAACAGTTTTTGTAATAGCCCCGCTTTTACCTTAATTGTTAGTGCCGCGATTGCGCCCAAATATAACCATATTTAGTTAAGCCTTTTCATTTCTTTCATGACGGAAATTGTTACTCTAAGATGACATGATAAGGCTTAATTTCCCATCTTTCTTTCAAAAGCAGAATAGATTGTTGTAATCTTTCCTACTTGGATTTTTTTTCGGGATATTAAAAAACTGAAAATAGTTACTAACTACATGTTAATACCACTGTCGCATTCGAGGCCGAAAAATGGCTTATTACTATGCTTTAAGTACTTTCATTGAATTTTATTTATTTAATGTTATTCTAAAGAGTTATTTTTGCGCATATTTTCTCACAGTGTTTTTATTCCTTTGACGGGAATAAAATGTTATTTTCAAAAAGGTGCAACGCGATGTGAATCCACATGGAATCGGTTCTCAGAGATGTAACATGAATTTGTAAATTATAAATATACGTCTCACGTTATAATTTCCCACAGGAAGATTCTCGCCGATTACTGAATTAACCATGATTTAATATTATGAATTTTTGTAATTATCTTCAATATTCAAGACATATGTAGACTGATAAATTATTTGACCCGGTTGGCATGAGTGAAAATTAAATTATGACAGCTCACCAGCGCCCTCTTTATATGCTATATTCTGTTTACATTTTACATATTTTCTGACAGAACCAACCGATAGTAGCATGTCTAGCGGGTTACTTTACCGGGCTAGATATCCTTATTTGGCTAAGTTTTTTTTAATTTTCAGCTATCCAGCTATCTACTGCCCAGTGTCTACTAGTGTGCCTTTGGTGCTTACGCTACGGTTACGCTTACTGAGTTAATGCTGACTTTTGAGTTTAATGTGCGATGACCAGAGGAATAAAAGGTGGTTGAATAAAAATAAAACAAGTAAATTCATTGTGACTCATGTTTACAACCACTCACAAATGCAACTTTAAAAGAGTTTAAAGCGAAAAGAAAAAAAAACAAAGATCTCCCGAATCATGGCATAACACAATATTAATACATTTTACACATAACCTTAGCAAATAAATACAAATGTTATCATGCATGGAATAACTTTAAATTAATGTTCGGAAATATTTCTAAGTTTTCTAGTATACCAAAAAATAACCTCCCATTCAATTCTTAATTTTCTTAAGTACATATTTCAGTTTAACCATTTAATACAATTTATAAAAATAGACGATTATTTTTCTTAAGCTTGCCTTTACTTCGATTATATTTGTCGCTCCACGTAATAAAAACGATATTCTATAAAAGAACTAACTTTTTTTTTGATTTTTTTGTAAAGGCAGTTTTCCTCGTGATGCCAACAGTATTGTATTTAGTATAGGACGTGTTAGTGTAGGACATCCTGGCTCAAAAACCTACGCCAGTGGTATGGAAAGAGCGCCCGTTCACTTTTCAGAGCTGTGGTGTCAAGAACGAAAGTCGCCCTAATGATCGCCGAACTTCGGAAGAAGATGGCACTTTAAGAAGATAGGACGTGTTGGCAATTACAAAAAATTAAAAATATCTACTAGAGATACGTATTTTGTTTTTGCATCTGGATGTAAAAATTTCTTTCATAGAATATCGTTTCTGTTTAATTGTGACAAAGAGATATCTCGACGTACATTGAAGTCTCTCTTTAAATCTCAAAATAGATTCTCTACCATAGACCAAAAATATTAATAAAAATTAACGCTAGTTTTGTTGGTCCATTATTGTATATCCTATATTAGTTACAATAAACGAGTAGGCACTTATTAAATAGGAATTATTTTAATCGTTATCGATTTCAAAGCGTCTGTACCTATCACCTGATTATAATAATAATTATATAATTGCAGATCTTTTTTCGTTTAAATATGGATAATTACGTGGTAAATACGCTGCATAAAAATAGCAGATAACTATTTAAATGCAATTTATAAAACACGTTTGTTTCTAAATCATATTAACTATAATGTATATTTCAATGATTTATATTCTTTATTATTTTAATGACTTATATCTGTATTAAAATGAATAGTGATATATAAGTTGTACATATAATAATTATATATTATGATAATTTGTTGTATTTTTTATATAATTTAGACGAAACTTTGCTTGATACATATTTTTATGTTATTGTTTTCGACTTTATTGATTATAGTTATCGATATGTTTTAATCAATTTTATAATAAGCATAGATTTTGAGGTTATTTTTTATTTAATGCTAACGTATTGTGCAATTGGAAATATCGTTTATTAATTACTATGCTAGAAGTGACGGACACATTCATTAAAATGCATTCATCGTCTTTATTCAATTGTTTTAATTATATTTCACCAGCACATTTTCGTTAACTGTTTTATGGATTACTATCCATAGACAACGTACACTAACATAAACGCTTATTGGCATATACGTGAAACTAAAAACGATAAAAAAATGTTTCTGCATATGCATAAAACCTACAAAAATGATATGTTATGAAAACTGAATTTTTCAAAAATGTAATTTTTTTTCTCTAAATTTGTCAAAAATTATGACAAAATATAGCAATGCTCTTAGCAAATTGAAATTAGAAACCTTGTATAATTGTATGAAATATTCTAAAAGAACACTGTAGAAGCGGAATGCTAAGCGACTGTATTCGACATAATATACACTTATAAATAAATCCCATAAATTCTAAGCAGTCCCGATTATTTGACTCGCATGGACCTCTGTTTGTTCATGTTGGTGAGCATCAGGGAGATGTAGGAGGTGAGCAGGTCGTCCATCTTGTAGCCCAGAGACGTCTCGCAGAGCAGCTTGGAGCCGCGCACGAGGTTGCCGATCGTCATGTGGAAGTACGTGTTCCCGGACGACCAGTTCGAGATTCTGGTGAAAGGATGAGTTACCAGTATGTCCTGGAAACAAACAAAACATAATATTAACGTATACAAGAATTATATAAATCGAGACGATATTTTTCTCTCTACCATTTAAAAATGCCTCTGACAAAGAATAGCAAAAATTACTCTCTAATAATGTCAGAGATGAAAACTAACCTTCGATTGCGGATGGATCAAACTAACACCATGCTTATTAATAGCGATGAGCAAGAGTTCGGGGTAGTTGGGCTCCGTGGTCTGCTTCACCTCGAAGAACGCGGAGCCGAATGTGGGCCACCGGTAGATGACCTTTAGGAAGGTTATCTTGGCGTCCTCTGGCGTCATGCCCGCGTCCTGGTTGTACGACGCCACGATAGCGCGCTTCCAGTCCGCGGAGCTTTGCAATTTTATTAGATCCGCCGGGACCAATTCGCGGAGCATTTGCCTGTAAAGTCGATAGTGGACACATTATATTTGACTCTTGTACTCATACAAAGTATAGTCGTTAGAAAAGGAGATAGTCTTACGGTATGGCCTGCAGCTCCTGCTTGTTGTCGCCGAAGCGCGCGCGGTAGGCGAGGGCGGCGAGGCGCGCGGCCTCCTCGCGCCCGCAGCGGTGGTAGCCGCGCAGCAGCTTCGGCAGCTCCTGGTGGAAGTGGAAAATCACGTCCGCCGCGCGGTCCTTGCCCGGCACCGTGTTCGTCCACAACTTCTTCATGAAGAACACCTGAACAAAATGTACATTAGACACTATTTCTTTGGTAAATCAAAAATACTTTAAATAATTCATACCTGATAAGTGAATTGTGGTGTTATCCCATCACGAGTGGGTCGTGCCTTCTTGATCCAGTCAGTCAGATGTCGCACGAAGTCAAAAAAGAAGTCACCTTCAGGCACCGATATAACCTTATCAGCTATCTTAACGAACAAACTAAAACCTTCACTGGACCTGAGATTCAGCCTCTGTGCTATATTTTGACAAAAGTCTTTGGCTCTTGTCGAGGAGTCCACTTCGAAAGCTTCGTCCGTGTCGTCTGGGAAGTATACTTTATGGAATATCTGAGTCGTCTTGTGCTGGATGGCTTCAACTTCCACCTGGTGCGGTGGATACTTCCTTTGGCCGTTACGCAACGTCTTTTGCAGTCTTTGGAGAGAATCTTGGGCTATAGGATATCTTCTAGTTCTTAGGAACAGTGTTAACTCTCGCAGCAACCCTTGACTGCAAGCGAAGAGTCCCGTCGCCAACCACATCAGCTCCCATCCTCTTTCCTCCGACATTCTATTCCTATTGTCTGTTAACTGTTTCATTACTTGGCAATATATCTCATCTCTCAATATTTCATGTTTTAACGGGCCATCGAAAATATGATCTGTGTATTCGTTGCCAATACGAGGACGCTTTGAAGGCAGATCACCCATATATTTTAACATAGCCGTAAAAGCAAAGCAAGCCTCCTCTGCCAATTCTTCTTTCGCTTGTAGTTTTTTCAATAAAGGTAATTTAATGGGTTCACGGGAATGTCTCCATAGTTCTTCTGTTCCTCCTCTTTTCGCTGTTGAAAGTGTTAAGGCTTTCGACACGGTCCGTTTTGGTGGCAATCTGAAGTGATCCAAAGCATATTCCAACAGCGTATGTGGTTTATCTCTCGTCTCGGTGCCATTAAATGTACTAGTTGGAACTCTGCGACCGTGTTGTGCCCCTTCTTGGCAAAATAGCAAGAGTATGTCGGGAGGCGGCTTAGTTAGTGCCGGCAACACATACACTGTTTCAGCTGGAAAGTCTCCTCTCTCCATAGTCCTTTCGCATCTACCTATGCACCAACCATTATTAAGTACCGACTCACCCGTACTATCCTCTTCTAATATTATCAGATCTCCTTTTTGGAAAGTTAAAAAGCTTGAACCTTCTCCGGGCGCTTTGTAATCTTGCAACGCTATCACATATTTCGATCTCTTTTTCAGGCCTTCTAAAAAGTATACGACCAAGTCCCTAATGTCTTCTGCATTCGGACTCTGGAATGTGAACTCCTCACCGCGCACGGTTGATAGACTAAAGGTTTGTGTGAACACTTTATTGGTCTTTTGACTTGAGACGGTCGTGATCTCCGGAAAGGACAACTCTAGTAACACTTGCTCTTGATCATCTACTACATACACCCCAGTCCAGTTCACTGCTATAATAACATCGTTTTTGGGCAAATTAGGCCCCGAGTTTCGGTAAGCTTCGTAGAATCTTGAAAAAAGTAACGGCCATTTGAATTTTGCGTAACTAACTACATCCTCCTTTACTCTATAAGCTGCAACTTTCTCTTTAACGTAATAACTCTTTTTGTAAGCTTGTACCACCAAGGCTCCCCATCTATCGACTGCTTTCTCGACTCCCGTTAAACAGTAATCAGGAATGTAGTTAGGCAGCAATGTGAACAAACGTTCCGTGTTCATATCCTGACCGTATTCAATGTAGTACTGTTGAGCTGCAATCATTGCTAGATCTTCTTCTTTGTCACATCTGTATTCACCAAATTTAACACCTCTTACAACTTGTTGATAAATAAGGTTAGTGGCTACCTGATCTTCGGTAGGATCGTGCCATGGAGCAAATATTTCTTTTCTAAAGAATAATCTCCAAGGCGCATTTCTCTCTTGCGCACCTTGTTCTTTGGCATATTGTTCACATTGTGATATAGCATCCATTACATGGTCTCCGCCGCTGCCGAGAGAACTGACCTTATCGAACAGAGCAATGTATAAAGAGAAACCGAATTGATCCCGTAATCCAATTTTATCAGACAACTGATTGCAAAGCTCTCTCGCAGTGGTCGCGGAGTCAGCTAATAACGTTTTCGTATTTCCGTCCATAAATGTTATTGGCAGCATAATAGGTTTCTTTGATTTAGTTGCTTGTAATTCTAACCAAGAAGGAGGTTGGTTCCTGGTGCCGTTGTTAAATGTTCTCTTAAGCCTGTCTTCGCAGTACGGGGCGTAACCAGGCGGTCCTTCTCTGATGAATGCCCTCAGGTAATTCACAAATTTCTCACTAGGTGCAAAGCAACCGACACATAAAGACAATAAGATCCATCCTCGGGCATGTGAAGATTTAGATGGATTGTTAGTCAGCTGTTTGCATATTTGACAGTATATTTCATCTCTGAGTTCCGCACGGAGTATACCGTGACCGATTATGAAATGAAGTTTCTCTAAATTAGATGTAGGTCGCGATTCAAGCCAAGACTGATAACTGTCCGCCGTGTATTCTTCGTCCTGTAAATAAACATTACATTGTCAGTTAATAAATGTGACCATTTGGAGTTTTACGAACTTCTGAAAGTCATGAAAGGTAGTGCAAAAAACGGTAACTACCTGAAGTTTTCTTCTAACGTCTTCTCCAAGTTTATTCTTTCTTTTCAATGTCAGTGAAACCAGCTTGTGCCTGATAGATCTTGGTTTCTGCTTGTTCAAATAAGCATCAGGGTCGACGCCCATCATTTGAGCTTCTTGGAATTCCTTGGAGCGTATGAAGTTTCTTCCGAGGGTTGCTGTGACTTTGGACATAACAGAAGTATTGTCTCTGTCCATTGTATGGTAACGTGGTTCTGCGAGGTCTCCAGTGAAGCGAAGTATGGTCACCCATAACGCTTGTGCAGCCTGAAATTATTAATGCTATCAGACATGTAATGTAGAATAATAAGCATAACAAACCAATTGATTATAATTATCTTAAAAAAAATTATTAATGCAATTATTTCTCGTACGATATTAATTATTCAGGAATTTATTTGACGTGCTAATAACTTACCAATTGATCGCCTTGTGTGTGCAGCGGCAGCAGCGGATGTTTGAGAGGTTTCCTCGAGTATTGGTGAGTTACGTTGCCTTGGAAGTACGTTGCTGCGAATTTTTGGAACTTAAACTCGGACAGATCCTCCTCGTCCTCGGATGTTGTCTGCATTGGGGTTACCATCTACAAAAAATACAGTTCATTAATAGTTAATAATTAATATATTATTATTAATCACTTACTACCTCATCCAAAGTAGTTTCTGGTCATCATACAACTCTAAAGTGTGGTATGTTAAAATATTGAACTGTGTGACTACTAGCTGTTTTTCTATTACCTCTTGTTGGTCGGCTCTTTGCTGCGGCAAGTCACTGAACACTGACGTGTCCTTGGGTGCCGGTGCTTCACTGCTGGAATCAGGCAGGAAGTCGAACATTGCCTCCACTAGCTTGCTGTCGTCAACCGGCTCGTCCTGTTTCCTCGCCGCCTCTTGTAGGAGCGTCCTCTTAGCTTCCAGTTGTCGTTTCTCCTCTAATGCCAATTCAGCTTCACGCCTCTCTAGCTCATACATTCGCTCCTGTAACAAATTACATATAACGTCATAAAAGACACGAGTAATCAATTTATATAAAAGAACAGAAAGTTTATCTTCTCTTTTTTACTTCATAGTACTTAAACAGTGTATTTTACATAATGCAAACGCGAACATACGATAGTTACACACATAGATACTTAAAAAACGAATTTAATATGAACAGCCTTCATTGTTCTAGTTTAGATAACTTTGCCAATTTCCATTTTCTTCACTCGTAATTATACGTGTAGAAATGTTTGTTGTGAAAGTGGTTGTTTGCAATATAAATTAGTTTGTATACGTGATTTGAATTTGTATTTATTGTTTCTATCACGTGTACTTTGTCTTTAAAAATACAATGAGGAACGCACTTCATTCGTATAAATAGAAAAAAAACATTGTGAGCTTCATTGTAATTAATGCATTATTGCGAACACTAACGATTCTAAAATAGTTTACAAACATCTATAAGTTTAACGATTTATCTGTTATTTGACATCCGGCAACATAACACATTAGAAGATAAGATTAATATTTCACCAACACAATAAGAAAACTCCAAGCCATCATCGCATATACACTTCGTCCATAAACTCATTTTGATTTTAGCTGATTTTAACACACGACGAAACTTCGATAGAGATCGCATTTTAACACTGACTGTTGTATACTTGATGCGTTATTCGACTGGACGTGAAACGAAGCGAGACATGTTTGAATAAAGTTGCATAAGTACCAGTGCATGCAACTCAGATGCTCAGTATACAAGTAACAATTATATGTGAAATACAACGAAGTTTTACAGGCTCTGAGCGGTAGGGCGATCGCCCTGGGCACTGGAGAGGTAGATGCACCACAGATTTGTGAATTACGTGGTGTAAAATAACCCTCTCGAGCACCCTTGAATCGGAATGCTAAACGCGTATTGAGTGACAGCCCAAGCCGAGGTCCCCTCTCGGGGGCCCTTGTGCCCCACCATGTGTGTCACTCCATGGAACGTCCACCGAAGCGATCTAAGAGCTCGGTGGCCTCCCAATCCGGTAATAATAACGAAGTAACGGCTCGTGCCGAGGCTTCTGAGAGAGCCCGCAAGAATAGTTACTCATAAACGAGGTTTAGGCTAAGCGCCATCTGCGCTCGGCCCTCAAGCCCGGTGAATCGTGAACCGTGGCCATTCAGTCACAAAAAAACTTCCCCGAGGCATTGTAAAAAAGGTGGCGACGTAGAAGTCTTGTCCAGGACGATAGTAGCGGTATAACCGGCCCTATTTACGTAGGTGGTTAGACTAGCTATCAACTTCATAACGTTTGATTTATTCTCTTATAACGTATTCTCACCTATGATATAATATGAAAGTTATCATGTAATTTACTACATAATAAGTGTTAACATAACAAAATATCTTTTTTTCATTAACTAATTTACGTAGTAAATAATTTCACTTGAAAATAAAACAATGTCTGCAATCAAATCAAAAACAAATGTCTATTGAAGGAAATATGATGAATCTATTTGACTTTAACTTCTATAATTTAAACCAAAAATGATTTTAAATACCTGTCTTTTTTGTTAACATTTTGTCAAACTATTTACACATTTTGATATGCACACGCAGAAGGTAGGCACATAAACTGAAAACAAATTAAATTTAATTGTGTTTTGATATAATCTTTTCAGATTACGATCAAATTTGACCGCTTGATAATCTAATTATCACGATATTATAAACTGATCTTACATTAGATAATTATGCAACATTAATGTGTTAATATTATGGCAGTATTTAGTTATTTTGATAACCGTAAGGTTCAAATTTCAATGTAGAGTAAACTCGTATATCTGTAATCAATTATTCATTAATATTAAGGTGTAGTTTTAGTGACAAAATGTGTATGTGTAGCGTCGACGCTAGCTTTTTCATGACACGGTTAATCCATTTAAATGGCCTCCAGAAAAGTAGAATCTTCTTCTTTTAATTCACATTTTTATGAAATTTTAATCAACCTTTATCGATGGGCCGATAACCGTTTTCATTTTCAAATTGGAAAAAAGAAATGTCGAATTTATTCATACCAATATTACCAATAATACCACTTAAAAATAACTTAAACATACAGATGCATTAAATTTAAATAATGGTACAAGTTTAAAAACCTTATCAGTGCGAATATACATATAAAATTAAAGTGTGTATTCAAATTAAACATCCATTTTACACTTTGATAAGTATGTCACGTGAAGTGATTTCTTTTACATTAACAAAACACTCAAATTATCTACTTACCCTATAATTCTGCTCAGCGATCTCTTTGGCGCGGGTGTTGCCCTGGTGCTGCAGTCTCTGCTCCTCCTGCTTGCGCAGGCGCAGCGCCTCGTTGTGCGCGATGGTCTCCTGCTTGATCCTCTTGTAGCGTCGCATCGCGATCAGCCGCCGCACGTGGCTTTGGATCTTCACAATCGCCCACATCTTGTGCCCGTACGACCGACGGACTAAGTATCCACGGGCAGCTGCCTGGGAAAAAAACAAAAATTAGTCCGAGAGCTATCATAAGATTAAGTTATCGAATAGCAATCTCCTTCAAATACTTACTTGTAATGATACAATATGACCTCGCAAATGTCTGAACCGATGTGCCAAAACCCTAGCTCGAATTAACGCCTGCAGTCTCGCGTACCCAACTTTCATCTTATTATATCGTATTCTCTGCAACTTCCCGCGCCAGTGACGCTGTATCAGAACAGCAGCAGCTCTCATCTTCAAGAACCGTCTCCGATATACCCAACCCCTTATGGATCTTTGCAGAATTAAAATCTTTCTAGTGAGCACTCTATCTCTTTCCTGTTCGAGGAATAAATCATGTGCATCCTTCAAGAATACTTTGGTATGGCCTAGTTGGTAATCAGATTTGCCGAGAACGGTGGCACAAATCTTTGCGGTTGCAGCACGGCAGTCCGTTTTATGTGCTGGGGGAACTCCTGATATTAAAAATCGGTACCGCTCCACAAATTCTTTAAAACTGTGCCGAATTGGATAACCCGCTCTCCTGATTCGGATTGTCTCCATCATGCCAGAATACCGAAGTTGACGGCAGCAAAGACCGCGGTCAAACATCATCGGTTTCTTGAACTCGTTTGGTTTTATGCACCTTATGAAGAATGGCTGACAAGTACCTAACGTCCGCATTAGTAAGTCGAGAGATTTTTTGAATTGGGTCGACAGAGTAGGAGCCCTTTTACGAGTTTCCGATCCCATAATGATATCTTCTTGGAAAATCTGTTTCAGGAATTTATTCGTCGATATATGGATTAATTGAAGTAAGTCAGCGCTGAAGGTGTCTCGGTTTTTCTCGAGGAATCCACGAGTATCGTAGAACACGATACCAGCAAAATGATTTAATCCAAAACTAGTATTAATGTCCGACTTTGGTTTGAGATAATTTCTGTGTAGACCGTGAGTCTTGTGTAGCTTTGCTAACATAGTTTGATCAGTTCCTTTGGGGAATTTAGACTCTTCGTCGATCAGAGCCATGATGTTCAATTGTTTTAACGCAATTAAATCTAAGGCATCTTGATTGTCAACAAACTCGATGTGCTGCCAGTTTATTCCTTCATGATTGTATTCCTCTTGCTCCAATTTAAAGATATGGCGTACGAAAAACTGTTGAAGATTTTCATTCGCAAAATTGATGCAAAATTGCTCAAAACTATTGTGATCGAAATTTTCAAAACCGAATATATCCAAAACACCAATCGCAGTCCTCGTAGTTGATTTCGGTTTGTAAATGGCGGCGTTAATCTTTTTGACGATAGTGACAAAAAGTCGCCCGTAAATACCTTTCACGAAAGCGTCTCTAATATCAACAGATTGTGTTTTACTTAGAGTCGATACGACTGTTTCTCCGTGTGCAAAAAGCGTCTTCCTGGTAAGTGCATCGATCAGAGACTGTGTCGGTACCCCTAAGAGATTTGCTACTCTTTTTACGTTCGCTTGTTCTATGATTTCTGTTGCGTCTAAATTGTCAACAACTGTTGCTTCATATTTTATGTTACCGCAATGAAGAACAGCTGCTAACAATTTTAATATTTCCCATATCTCTGGTTCTGTGAATAATAAGACTTTCATAGCTGATCTAATATCTGCGAATTCTGCAGCATCATCCCTTCCTTCGCAGGTGAAACTGCCTCCCTGGAATAAATAACATTTAAGTTTAAAATATGAAGGTAGTTTAAAATAACAGGATAATATTTAAATGATTGCTTACTGCAGATAAATATCTGTATTCCGTCGGTTCACCCAACTCGAGCTTCTTTTTCTCATCTTTGGAAAGTCCGGCGAGTAAACAATAAAATACATGATAGTTTCTCTCTTCCGAACTCTGAGAGACGATTCTAGATTTTTCTAATAAATATTGTTCTATTTTAGCACCTTCTATAACTCCACCGCTATTAAAATGTATATCTATGTATTTGCCAAATCTTGATGAGTTATCATTTCTTACGGTTTTTGCATTACCAAACGCTTCCAGGATTGGATTCGCTTCTAAAATCTGAAAAATAATAAAACAATAATCTTATCTATTTAAAATCTTACATAATCTAATTATGTAAAACATGCAATGGAATGCATTTCGTTATCTATAACACGATCTAATTTGCAGTTGACGTGTACGATCGAATTACTGATACACGGCAAATTATCACCATGACACTTCACACGAATCATTTACACGCTAAATTGAAACCAGAAGTAAATCTATATCTATACTATTATAATAAAGCGTACACACACACTTCTTTGTGTCCTAAGATGTCAGCAATTATAGCATGTTTTTGAATAATTCTTTTTGTTATAAAATGCCCTACACTTACGTCACGCTTTAAGCTATATATTTTTACGTCATTAAACATAGAGGGTTAATATTTTGGATAAAATCCCTAATGTGGGAATGAGACCATAAGTTGCTGCTAACATCAAGAACGCAAAATTGCCATAGTATGGTAATTGGTATTTTGACATTTGCAATTGATTATTTGACACATGTTAACAATAAAATAAAATTTTCATAATTATATGCGGATGAAGACGCAGTGGAACTGGTACATATTAAAAGCAAACTCAGTTCAGATAGTGAATTGCAACAATTAGGATGAGCAAAAAATAGGGGACAAAGGACTATAATTAGTTAAGAAATAAAGAACGACTCTTTCATTAGTAAACATGTTTTGCATTTATAATGTATGTATGTCAATGGCCTTTTAAGAACGACATTCTTATGCTATCGAAATGATAATCAAAAGCAAAGATTATGATCTATCAGAAAAAGAGCGTGAATAAGTCATAGTTTTTAGACATGGGTATAAACAAAGACAGTACAGTACGTATGGAAGTAAGTGGTGTTTGATGAGTATAGGAACATACTTGCTGTTCTATCCATGAGTGCTTCCCGCTGATCGCGGCGAGATATTGCAGTATGAGCTTTGTGGACTCCGTCTTCCCGGCACCAGACTCTCCGCTTATGACGATGCACTGATCCTGACCGTAGCGACGCATATGTGCATACGCATTGTCGCCTATCGCAAATATATGCGGCGGCAGTTCTCCTATTTTCCTCTCTTTGTACAACTTTATTTGGTCTGCAGTATATATTGGTAGTATTTGGTAAGGATTCACCGCCACCAATATTGAACCCGTATAAGTCTGGAAATAGACAAGTTATACAATTTGAAACATGTTTTCTATTTTGTTTTATCAACATCCGCATTTCTTTCTTATGTAAACATAACTGATTGTACGTCCATCTATTGTATTTATTATTTATGTTTTAACTTCATAAACAGCATTACTTGTGATGACATTATTACATTACTAGCATATAAAATGTAACTTCTTCCTGAATATTCTTGAAACATATGTTTCACGTGAAGGAATGTTTCCTTTCTAACTTTTACATCCACATATCGTCTGCATGAATACTCCTAGTTGTGGTACGGTAATCTCATAGGTCTAAGTTATGGAACCTCGAGAAGTAACTCTACTACTATACTAATACTAATATAATAAAGCGTAAAGGCACTACTTTGTGGCGTAAGATGATTCTTTCTTTAAAAAAACCTACATTTACGACACGCTTAAGGCTATATATTGTCATCCTTTAAACTTAGGAGGTAAATAAATTGGATAAAAATCTTCATGTGCAAAAGGGACCATAAACTACAAGTTGCCAACATTAAGGAAGCAAGGTTTGACATTTGCAACTGAGAAATTGACAACTGAGAAAATAAAAATTTCATGCGGATGAAGCCACACGGGAACACTTACATAAATAAGATTTTCGTTATAACGTATGAGAAGATTCCTGAGTATGCCGGCTTCGTGGAGGTCTCCCAGAGAGATCATGTCCTCGACACCATGCACCGAGGTGGCGTGCATCGCCTTGATGCGTCTCTCCGGCGGCAGCCATTGCTCCTGACCGTCGTCGTCGCGTACCCGGATCCGTCGACCCTCCGCCGCCAGCACCCGCGCCCCGATCGCCACATCGAACTCCCGCCCAGATACCGGCTCGATCCATATGTAATCACCCTGGAACGCAATAACAGCAAATCAGATAGGGTTATGAACTCTTGCCCTTGTAAAATTGTGGAATAACTGGTCTTACGACTTTAAATGCTAGTGAATTTTCTAATTTAATTCAACGTGTGTGTCAGAAAGAAATAATTAAACTCTATGCTAATATTTTAACGGTTTACGATTAGCACGGTTTCGGAAACTAGCTATTGCTTGCGACTTCGTCCGCATAAAATGCGGCTTGAAAGAATTTTTAAAATAGGCCCTGTAGTTTTTGAGTTATTTCAATACATACAAAAGTACAAATCTTTCCTTTTTATAATATCAGCATAGATTAAGGATGCAATAGTCACACGTTATAAATGTCATTATAATATCAAAACGACCACTAACATTGGTGACGTATTTCTAATATGCCTGATGGATCAGACAATGCTCGGACCTGTCAGACAATTGAAATAGAAAGTCCGTATCCTTTTACAAATGGCCAGCGAACGCACTCAGGATAATTATCTCGTTGTGTGTGAAAGTGACAAGTCGTAGAGAATGTTGATGAGCGATACATACAAGACTGACTAGAAACAATATTTTAATATTCATGTATTGAACAATCACAAGTAAATTTTTTACATTTTTTGTTGCACTATTAGTAAGAAATTAAGTTATCTAGAGAGATGATTTTTACTATACTAAAATAAGGTGATAGCAATATAGAACAGTTAAGGAGATCCTAGAGGAAAAATTTTATGTAAAACTTTATTTATTTGAAATGTATTCAACGAACATATTTTTTAAAATTGTCAAAGAGGTCAATAAATAAAATATAATATTAACAAGCGACAAATGAACATTTTAGTTACAATGTTAAATTTAGAGCCTCGAGAACACATAGATATTCCAACAAAACATTTAACACTCTAAATTCTATACCTTACGTTAGTTTGGAAAGTGTCTACTTTGTTTGTTTAAGACAAATATAGTTGTAAAATTTAATAGCGTATACGTAACTGCTTTTCAAGTAATTACTAAATTTCAACATACCTGAAAAGTGTTGAACATAACAAATTATCAGTTTCAATTATTTACATATTCCAAATCTTTTCACATAAAAATATAAACCTATATCATCTTGGCACCATTCATTACAAATACTGAAGTTATATTAATATATAAGATAAGTTTATCTATATAAAAAATGACCGCGTCTGTCTGTGCAAGGTCGTTCATTATTACTTTGCATACGTTATCACCATTCTATTTAGTTATGACAGTCACTGGACTAAATGATTCAACACGTTCGTCTAGACATATCTATACATATAATAAAATTGGAGTGTCTGTTTGTAATATCAAAAGAAAAAATTCAGATTTCGGGAAGATGTATTTGCGTTACTGATAACGAACATCGTATTTAATTGTTTTTGTCTGTCTGTCCTCGAGCCGCGTTTGTTCCGGGTAATCTCCGATTCTTTGAAGAAACAGGTTAACTTAGTTCTTTCATCTTTAAAATTTATTAGGGTCCGCTAATCACACTATGTGATTATATGCTAGGTTTGTCAGAATCAGGTATTTTCTTCTAAATTTCATAAATTACAGTAAAGTTTTCCGGAAGAAATTTTCTCTGAAGCCCCTCGGGGAATGTGGTTTATTGAATTATACGTAATAAGCCGCAATGTCCGTCTTAGTTTTGCCTGTAGTACCAGGTGCGTACAGCAACTCGATGCATACAATGGGAGTACCAGTGTTCGGATACATAGAATTAATCTATACTATTATATTAAAATGTAAACACACACTTCTTTGTTGCCTATGATGTTTTTTTAATAAAAAGCCCTACACTTACGTCACGCTTTACGCTATACATTATCACGCCATTAACCTTAGGGCCTAAATACTCTGGATGAAACTCCTAATGTGGAAAAGAGACCATAAGTTGCTGCCAACATCAAGGAAGCACGATTGTCAAGGTTTGTCATGTCATGTCATTTTGACATTTGCTATTGATAATTTGACAAATGTAAACAATAAAATAAAATTTTCATAATTTCATAAGGATGAAGTCGCACGGGAACAGCTAGTATTTCATACATTTCCTAATACGTCAATGGAATTCTGTACATTTACTAGGAAATGTATACATTTACCAAAATATATGTGTTCAATAATCTGTAAAAGAATATTTAACACATTGTCTCGAATTGGGAATTGTATATTTATTCTAGGAAATGTATACAATTTATTTTTATTTGTAAGTATTCAATGTATTTCTTTATGTTTATGACGGATTTGAACATTCTAACTTTTTCGAAGTTATCACAGCTATAGAATTAAATTGAGAGTCACTTCGTCTAACTTGGTGTAAGATAAAGTAAGTCAAATAACTGTATTAGCTTTGATGCTCGACATCCTCACATAATTACATGAACCTCCTACAAGTGTCAGAAAAGAGGGCGCGACTGTCATATTTTGTTCAAGCAGACTGAGCCTAATTCTGTGTCGCTATTTATAAAAAAAATATCGAAAATCAAGAAGCAAATTATATTATTTTGAAACTGTTGCCTTAAATTGATTTGAATAAAATAAAAACTATGTTGTTTTTTAATAGGAGAAAGTTTTAATTTTTAAAAAATTCAGGTCTATATGTTATTTTTGAACTTTCCAATAGCCTTACGATCAGCCCAAAATATCTCAGGTTGTAACAATAAAAACATCGTCTAATAACCGTGATTACTTAGTAATGTCATATTTAATAGTCACTTAAAAGACGCCTTAAATATTAATAGTGTCAGGATGCTCACACTAAAACGCCCCTTAGTGACCATTAAAAGACAGCGGACAGTATGATTATGCTAGATAAAAATAAAAACTAAATATCGTCTATTATTTATTCATAGATCATTGTTATTCATTCTGTCTGTCATCGACTGCATTAAGTATGTTATCAGATTAAATATTTTGGTTAACTTTCAATAGCGGACGACTCACGGCCGAGGTGCGTACGCAGTCACGTTGACTTTCTAAACGCGTCTCAATAACTCAAAATTATAATGTTTTGCGCGTGAAAGTATCACCAATGTAAAAGAACGTATATTTAAACTGCCTGTTTAAATGTTAAAAAACGAAACAAACACGCCTATTTTCTTTATTTCTATTTATTTATGAATATTAATATAACTGGTTTGGTATGATAATGGATTGTAAAGGTTTCTTACCGTTAGTTTATGTGTATTTCCAGAGATTATCGTTCTTTCAAAAAAATTGAGGTTATATTCTGTTAAAGATACATTAGGTTAAAAATAACAAATTTTGTTAATTCAAGGTTTTCATAACGTTTGTCGTGTTTTTATATAAAAATATTTGGACAACTTTATAAGGATTGTCAATCCCGGACATCTTCCCACTCATAGACAAGATTGGTCCGCGCACGGAGGCGGCATGCCGCGGCAGCGAGATACTTTCCCTCTCTATTTGGTAACTGACTGATAGATTTTTGTATACAAATTAAAATATGTAAACAAAATCAAGGCCAATGTTCAATTAATTCAACTTTTTAATTTGAAATTTTCTTATTAACAAATTAATGAGATAGTGTGAAGATTAATACTTTTCTTCTTTTTAAGACAAAAATCTATATTCCTTTCTTATTTTACTAAATGTAATTGTATAAAATAAGAATTCGAAGAAAAATTACTTCATTACTTTCAATTTATTACGTTGCTTTTATTAAAACAAAATTTGTTAGGTTATAATTAATAATTGCATAGTGAACGCGCACGGAGGTCAATGCCCTAACTCAGAGCTAGATTCAGAGTATAGGAATGTGTTGCCAAACGCAATGATCGGAAACCGCCCGGAAAATGTACCGCCGTCAGCCCACTCATTGCGATTTATGTCGAAATCCTAAACTAGCAAATATATCACTTAGAATTAAATATGTATGTGATTCTTTAAAATGTACTCGACCATTGTCCATAGGACACTGCACTCTACATTGTACAAAATATTTTAAATATGAAAGTAATTAATAGATTTAATTTAGCAATAAGATTGATAACTTCCATGAGGGTCGCCAGCCAATGATATAAACTACCATAAGGAGGTCGCCCCCATGGCTCCTCCATGCTCTTGGTAAGAAAACGATTGACACGTTAATCTGTTTAGGGTAGATATTTAAGATTGCAACAACGTGTATTTATACTACACACACCCCCGAAAACGGGTTTTCCCAACCGTCACTCTTCTGTCCCCAGGTGGAGACAGACGAGAATAAAAAGTTTTATCCGTCCCGCCTTTTGCGACGAGGGGACGGTTGGAACTTATTTTATTTCATAACGGTTCCAGCTTATTGGTGATGGTGGGACTAAAAGGTGGCACGGATGATACTTCTTATTCTCACGTGGGGACAGAGCGATGTGACGGTTGGGAATAATGCGCGAAAACCAACCAAGCAGCAATAAGTGGTGCGAATATACATGCCACCGACCGATCATAAATTCATTAAATACGCAAATAGACCACTCTTTACAAATTGTCTAGGCTAATTACAAACTGACAGCATTACCGACCTGTCGGTGACATACATAAGACACCTAATAGTGGATCATTGATACGTATTGTAACACGAGTGGTGTAAGGGCGCATAGATACTCAAGGCAAGTGAGCCCGCGACAACCTTGAACCTGCCCCACTATACAGTCACGAAGACAGGCAGGGTTGTCAACGATTGTGCAAGATTTTTTTTTTCACATAGCTTGTTATACTCCTGTGCACATGAGTACTTCCATTCCTAATTCTTATAGTAACAACTTCTTCTCGGTTTTGTAAGTAAATATAGAATAATGTTACCTGCCATACATTAGTTTAAATTTAATGATTTTATTTTTTTGGTACAACAAACTAAGTAATGTTACAAATAAAGAAAAAGAGTTTCTAATTCTAATTTGCTTGGTTACCTTTAGTTAGCACAACTATTCATGAAAACATTTGTTTTAAAAATATGTTCGCATATTTGACAGCCCTAATGTAGCACCTGATGGTCTTCACTTTAGAATTACGGTACTATGCGACAATGTGCTCGAGTACGACATAAAACGAAATAGGACGTTCTTGAATTTATATGAAGTCATTCATACTTCATACATCACAAGAAATGAGTCATTCATTCAATTCTAAATCAAATAAATTATACCTTCTTATCTATACTATTATAATAAAGCGTAAACACACATTACTTTGTTGCCTAAGATGTCAGCAATTACAGCACGTTTTTGAATTATTCTTTTTTAATAAAAAGCCCTACACTTACGTCACGCTTTAGGCTATATATTTTCACGGCATTAAACTTAGACATTTGCTATTGATAATTTGACAAATGTAAACAATAAAATGAAATTTTCATAATTTCGTGCATGGGAACAGCTAGTACAAAATAAAGTATTTTCAATTGAAATACAAGCGAATAGATTTAGATGATTGAATGAACAATTGTATTGTTCTATTTTTGGAAAGATAAACAAAAACAAAAGGAAAAGGTTCTTAAATGATCGAATTATATCAACAATAAAAGTGTCCAGTTAATTGAAGAATTAAGCGATAATTAAAACAAATATTTGCAAAGGCTTAAAATGAGTTCTTTATTTGATCATATCTCATCTTCCTACCGTTTTTCTACTTCTTTCTTCTTAAAAATTACTTTGTAAGTTATCTTTCAACAGTCCAGTTCCATTTATTAGTAACAGTAATACATATGTTAACATTAACTAAAGATAACAGCTAAGTGTTCTTCCAGTTCTACGTCTATGTGGAATTTTTATCGAGATCCGTACCGTTTAGGCGGTAAACTCTAACAAACATCGAAACTTTTACATTGATATGAGTAAGATTAGTTAAATAGTTTGATTTTCAATTCCCTTTTTTTTTCAGTTAGAACAGTATAATTTAAATTTTAATATGACAACACTTACTCTGGTAACGATGACCATTATGAAGCCGACATGTGGTCACTCCCACGATCTGTAACAGGAAAGTAAAATAACATTTAAAATGTTTATTGTAATGTAAATTTTACATTTCTGTGGCACTAGTAGTAGTAGTAGTAGTAGTAGGGGCTACGGTTTCCGCAACTCCACGACTAGCGCGTATTTTGCGTGAGAATAGGACATGGATTACTCCAGCCAACCCAGCTCGCCGAAGAACCCCAGCAAACCCTTTATATTGCTGGTGATCTCCGGGAGCGATCTCGGCGAACCAAGATACCTAACCCTGTATTCAGTCACCGCTCGGCGGTGCTGTATGACGTGTGACGCTGTTTCTTCTTCCTCCATGCACGCTCTGCACAATGGACTGTCAGTGACACCTATGTTGAACAGATGTTTGTTGAAAAGGCCATGGCCAGTGAGTGCTGCTACAATTAATCGTAGCTGTTGTTTGCTGAGTTTGAGAAGTCTGCTCGAGAGCCGTCTATCGATTTTAGGCAGAGCGTCTTTGGTCTGCCTGCAATCGCTAGTGTTGTCCCAGAGCTCGCTGTGGAGGGCGTAGCTACTATTTGTTACCTTTGATCTGATTCTGTGGCACTAATGGGATACACACTATTGTTCAATCAATAATCTAAGCATGCATGTTAGTTTCACACGAAGGCAGAATCTAAACATTGCAATCCTTCTATCTTTAAATCACAGATAGTATAGTGCTGTTTAAGTGTGCGGTAACACAATACTGCACGGTCTATTGCTCTTGTTCAATGTTGTCCTCATGTGAAACTAGTATAGAGAATTTAAATCAGTCTTTTTTAATTAATTAAGTATGAAGACTTAGAAATGCGTTATAAATAAACGCATAAGATTGTGTCATGTTTGCACAAGTATGAAGTATTTAAGAGTTAAAAAAAAAAATAACTAATAGACATTTCGTAAAATTCCATAGCCAATTTATACAAATTTTATTATTTCTTTCATTTAGGAAGTGAAATTAAGGGTTTTTACCACCACAACACTTACATACTACATGGTCTTACAAACTCTATGAAAAACTTTGTTTTTGTGTGTCCTCTTTCGCAGATACCCAATAACGTCTTACTTAAAACAAAAATAAAATTACAAGTCCTGCCACGTTCACTGTATGTCCACTTAACTGACGCATTGTTTGGTTTATCCTGAACAAACGCCTTTAAGGTTTCTTTTAACGAGTTAACACGCTGTTTAAAGCATATAAAAAGTATTAAAAAATGTGCTAAGAGTTTTGCTGTTTAAACAGAAGTCTGGTATTTAGGTATGGCCGGATTTTTGTAATTACAATAGAATAATATAACGATATTATTGAGTCAAGTCAAGAGTCAAGAGCATCGGTGGATCAGGGATTAAAGCAATTGACTTGTAATCTACAAGGTTCGAATCCCGCTGTGTAACAATGTGATTTTCGATTGTTCGATTTTCATATGTACATAATTTACCCGACGTTCTTACGGTGAAGGAACACATCGTGATGCAACCTGCACATATCGGCGAAAAAATAAAAGATATGTGTTAAGTCATTCAAAAATTTCATTGTCATGACAACCCTAATCTATACTAAAATTTAAAAAAAGAAAGATTTGTATTTTCTGTATTGAAATAACTCAAAAACAATTCGGCCGATTTTAAAAATTCATCATTAAAAAGCTACGTTATCAGTGAATAACATAGGATATGTTTTTTATTATTATTTCACAGAGACGAAGTCGCGAGCAACACGTAGTATTAAATAGTTTAAATAAGCTTACGCATTCAATAGACAGCGATCGCAGCTGAACGCGCCGGAAATCCTTTATTTAAGGCCGTTCATCTCTGAACGTCGCCGTCGCGGGTACTGCATTTGTACCATACTTTCTACAGCTGACCGTGAAAAGATTGTGTAACAATATACCCAAAAAGAATTTTTTTTCTACTTCGCAGTAAATTGAGCAGTTTCAGTTAATTCTTCTGAATATATGTCTAGCAATGCCACACCATTATCTTAAAAATTTCAAAAACCTTAACGAAAAAAATCTCACAAAAATTTCAATAGTAAGATGTCGTGTAAATGTTATAAAAAGCAGACACGTGTTTTTTTGTTGTCGTAATTTCATTGTAACATAAAAGAGGAACAGTCAGCTGCATATGTATAAGATTACAAAGCCTCAGAAAGTTGCATACGCCCTAAGTTTCAAAAATACGTTACTACGTATTCGCTCTAACATATTTTACATATTTAGAGCGCGCGCACAATTTTGACTGAACTATCGCATAAGTGTTTAGTCGATTTGATTCCATGAGATTATTATGGAGGTGCGCACACTACTCGATTTTTAGTTGTGCAACTAAACTAATGAAGTGAAGAACTAATGAACTAATGAAGTAATAAAAAATATAGCCTATGTTACTCACAAATAAATTACCATTCTAACGTTGAAAGAATTTATAAAATCGGCCCAGTTGTGTTTAATTTATTTCAATACATACAAAAATCGTCGTTGATCATCTCGGTATTCCCGCTGCTCGTTTGCCCCATTTTGTTATACGAAAAAAATACAAATCTTTCATCTTTATAATATTAGTATATCTTGTGTTTATATAAACCTTCGTCTCAAATTACTCGATCTATTAAAAACTGTATCAAATTCTGGTGCGCAGTTTTAAAATTCTAAGCATACGTAGACAGACAGCGGGAAGCAAATTTGTTTTTACTATGTAGTGATTTATATTCTTACAAAAAATGATAATATTACTGCCGTATTTAAACTGTTAAACATTCTAGATGTTACAAAGAGGAAATCGTAAACGGTATCGTTACATATTTATATACAAGAAAGTGATAAAAATTACGAAACAATATAAAAATACCTTCACGTTTAGTCGGACGTGAGGCTGTCGTAATAAGGCTGCTGTATACGGACATTTGAAATTTGTTGCCGGTAGCATTGTTTTAACGGCCAAACTGTCGGCAATTCACCGTCAGTTAGATGTTACGGAATCGAAAATGTCCGTGTACAGCGTCCTTTATTGTATATCTGCGGAAGTAAAGCGTGTTGCGTTTGTTATTCTATACACGTCCGCTGTTTATTGAATTCATAAATCTGTATGCATTTCATTCAATATCAATTCTATTGAAAGTAAATTGAATGTATTAGAAAAATAACTCACTGAATACTAAATAACAAAATAAATAAATAATCCATAACAATAGTAATTCTCAGTTTTGTTTATTTATTGGAATAAAATGCTGTTTATAAATAAAAAAAAATATATTTATAATTGAAAACCTTGTAGATCAAACAAAGAAAATGCGTTCAAACTTTCTTTATTATTCAAGGGCTTGTTAAAAAAAATAAAATATAATATTACTTTATCGATTTAGTTTCTTTCTCGTAAATCGTCAACTTATTTAGGGCGCGACCGTGCCCCAAACGAGGTTACCGAATACAATCTAACAAGGCACAAATTAATTGTGATTTAAAATTATGTTAAGTAAAATACATTGTCCTAAGCAGTTAAATTTTTAAAATGGTAAAAATGGGTATTTCCTATTGGGCCGTTCACTAATCTAACGGCTCAACGGGAAACATACAAATAAATAAAGAAACCAATGTATCTTTATATGCAATCCTAACTATTGATGATATTTCTGTTTAACTACATACCGGTTTCCCGCTCTTTTTATTAAACGTCGTTTAAACATATGCTTATTATCTTGCACACACGTATGTTGTGTGAAAAATCAATAAATACTTAATTTATTGTAATGACGCAGAGGCAGTTTACCTTCGGATCGCGTTAATGTCTTTTTTTCATCGATGCAAATTGCAATCTCAATGCAGACGCTAATTTAAATTTATAACTGCATTGTATCGTTAACTTAATATCTCTTTTAAACCCAGTCAGTATTCTAAATGTTTCATTTAACTAATAAAGTAATATAACATAAGAAATTTAGCGACATTTTCATACAAAAAGAAAAACAGAATTATGTGTCTCTATTTATGAATTCGTTTATTATATTGCATTGAAAAAAATATTAAATTCAATTAAAAATTAATTTAATATTACTTTTAAGTTTACATAAAATTAATAATTGTTTTTTTTTATTGGGAGATCGGTTCTTAGTCCAGTACTTTTGGGTCTCAGTTCGGTTCAAGTACATTTAAAGCGAAAAAAGTGTACATTAAAAATTTCTATATTTTTAACATAATAAATGTTATATAGCTATTGCTTCCGACTTCTTCCATGTGAAACTTAAAAATATAGCCTATGTAACTCACTGATAAAGTAGCTTATTAATGGTAAAAGAATTTATTAACTCTGCCCAGTAGTTTTTGAGTTATTGCAATACATACAAAAATACAAATGATTCCTCTTTATATTAGTATAGATAACTTAAGTTAGTAAGCTAGCATTACTGTTAGGAACAGTAATAAGAAACAGCTGTAATAGTTTTCTTAGAACAGTTATATGTAGACAGGTTACACGTGCGCTTGTCTTAGATTCCGTAACTATACACGTGCACAGCCTAGCGATCGATTTCCTATACGTTTCTCTGGCGTTACTACATATGTAATGTATTCACACGAGGACAGAACAATGAGACAGAGCAACTATAAGTACAGCTATAAGTGACAGTGGTACAGCCGCCTTTAACATCTTTGCACGAATGGGCAGGTTTGCACACGCAATACCACGACCACATAGAAGACGTAAAGTCGAAGCAATTCCGCGTTTTATCTGATGATTGTGGTGCCGGAGGCCCAATTGTAGTACCTTTTTCATTCCACCCTTAAGACGGGAAGAAAAGTGGATTTGATGGCGTAGGAGACGCATAGGAAGAGGTAATATCCTCTTTATGTGCGTCTCCTTCTCCGTTGATTAAGAGTAGGCAACGTATCTGCAATTGGGGATGTCTATGGGCAGCGATGGTTGCTCGCTCGTTTACCATCTTATAATACGTAAAAGTGAACGTTCAAATAATTGTAGTACTGCATTGTTGACTCATTATTACTGTTCTAC